GTGACTTTGCACAGCCCTGCCTCACTTAAATCCAATTCACTTGCAAGTCATGACATCACCTTCCCTGATATCATGGTCTTCTTCCAGAGCGAAGAACAAACAACAAAAACAACAACCAGTTAGACTCTAAGCATCCTGAAGGCAGGCCCAGCCTACGTCTCCTGCTTATTGCGTGGGTACCCAGTGGAAGCCTGGTGGGAGTTTGTGGGTCAGAGTTCATGCCAGATTAATCCTCCCCTGCTTGTGAAGAGTCATGTGCTGTGCTATGTATGAGCTGCCTTTGGTTCTTGGCCCAGACAGGGCATGTCAGTGCCTGAGGTTGAAAAGACAGACAGATTGGCAGATGGACAGAGTGATGCCAACAGGTGCTCATTCACATGAAAGGGGATTTCCAGTTAGGTTATTAGTATTGTAGACAGCTTACCAGAATCTGACTCTGGTCTATTCAGTTCAGTGCTTCACTCTAGGCCAATCAGGACCACATTGACCACGTGCCTTGTTGTTCTTTCATAATAAAAGCATCCCCTGAGCTGGACCTGGTTAATCCAGAGTCTCTCCTCTCCTTCTTCTCCTTACTGTCCCCTTGAGACTTTATATTTTGATGTAACAGCATCTTCCTGTAATCACCGTTTCCTCTCCCTGCCACCCCTGTATTTTTAAGGTAAGTTTATATTGACAGCATTTGTTTTTCTGTCATCTAGATTCCCAAATCAGCTAGGTGGCAAAGTGGATAGAGCACTGGCTTTGGAAGCAATCTGGAAGACATCAAATCTGGCTTCAGATACTTCCTAGCTTTGTGATCCTGAGCAAGTCACTTACCCCTCAGTTCCTCATCTGTAAAATGAGCTGGAGAAGGAAATGGCAAACTACTCCAGTATCTTTGTGAAGAAAACCCCAAAATAGGGTCACAAAGAATTGAACATGACAGAAATGACTAAACAACAACAGATTTCCAAATATATCTTTCCTTCCTCCTCTCTCAGAAAGCCATCTCTTATAGCAGAGAATGAAAAAGAGAGAAATATAAGAACATCTCAGCAAAATTAGCCAACATAATGAAAAAGTCTGACTATATATGCAGTTAGGTGGTACAGTCTGTAGAGTGCTGGGTCTGGAATCAGGAAGACCTGACTTCAAATGTGACCTCAGATACTTACTAGCAGTGTTACCCTAACACCCTAAGCAAGTCACTTAACCTCAGTTTGCACCTGCCTCCTAAGGTTGTTGTGAGGATCAAATTAAATAATAATAGTTAAAGCGCTCAGCGCTGCATCTGGCACATAGGTAGATTCCTTCCTTCCTTCCTTCCTTCCTTCCTTCCTTCCTTCCTTCCTTTCTTCCTTCCTTCCTTCCTTCCTTCCTTCCTTCCTTCCTTCCTTCCTTCCTTCCTTCCTTCCTTCCTTCCTTCCTTCCTTCCTCCTTCTTCCCTTCTCCCTCCCTTCCTCCTTTCCTTCCTTCCTTCCTCCCTCCTTTCTTCCCTCCTTCGGCTTAACTCAGGTGTCTCCTCCTCCAATAAGCCTTTCTTCATCCTCTACCTGGAACTTGTCCCCGAACTAAAAGTGATCTTTCTTTCCTCAATTTTCCTAGACTGCTTTGAACCTCTTCTTTGTTCCAAATCACATCCTACTTTGAATGAAACTCATTTGTTTTCATATTGTTTCCTCACTAGTTTGACTTCAAACTCCCTGAGGGTGGAGACTGTAACATTTTTCAATTTTTGTAGTCTCAACACTAGCACAAGTTCATGCACATGGTAGGTGCCTAATAAATGTTTGTTGAATGGAATTGAATTGGATCTTCCACCTCCTGACTGTGTCCCCACATGATGGATACGGCTTTTCTCTTTATTTACCTTGATATTTCCTGGTGTGTCCCCCCCCCCCTTTCATGGAGTCATGATTTTGCCTCATCTTTCAGGATTATGTCCCCAAACTGTCTTTCTGTTCTGTTGAACTGGTACTAACCTGGAACCTTTGGTTCTCTCCAGATGTGCAGCTGATTGTCCATCTGCCCTGATTTTGGGCTGCCCTCTAGTGACTGTTTGCAGCATCTAGACCAGGTTTAATCCATGGTTTCACAGATTGGGGTTGGAAGGATTTATAGATTTAGAGCTGAAAAGGAGCCTCAGAGTCCAACTCCCTCATTTGACTGAGGATGAAAAGAGAAGTGGCCTACAGCTTGTGGAGTCGGGGGACTTACCTGTGTGACCTTGGATGAGTCACTTTATCCCTCTGGGCCTCAGTTTCCCATGTAAAATGAGATTAGCTTTCTAAATGACCTCTAGGTTCCATTAAATGCTTATTGACTGATTGAATTTGGCTGTAGGGAGCAGGGGCCTAAGATGGTCACCACTTTCTCCACTTTGTCCTATCCCACTCACTGATTACTTTTATCTTACTTGCATTTCATGACAGACTTTTGAGTACTACTGATTTTATTATCCTCATTTTTATAGTTGAGAAAACTGAGGCTCAGAGTGGCTTTTGATTTTCCCTTGGACACACTAGTTTGATTGTGTATGTCTGAATACCGTCCTATCCTTAGGCCAGATTTGAAGTTATTGAATGGCAGATTTCCATAGCCTTAGAGTCAGCTAGGTAAGATCTAGGGTTCAGAGGGCAGTTTGGGATTTTCCAGGTTGAGGTCCTGATCTCTGACCTCTTCCTTTTCAGACCCACCTTCCCTAGCATTGGAGGGGGACTTTATAAAGCAGTTACGTGGCCTTAGCCCTAGTCTCAGAAAGATAGAGCCCTTTATAGGGTTGTCACTCCCCTAAGAACCTGCAGTGACTCCCTCTTGCCTCTAAAATAGAGGCTGTGGGCTTGACATATAAAACCCTTGCTGGTCTGGCTCCAGCCTACCTTTCCAGGTTCATAGCACGTTACTTCCCTTCTAGCCAAAATAACCTACTTGCTATTCCCTGAATGGGGCACTGACTGTACCATGCCTGTGCCCCCTGGAATGTTCTTCCTCCTCCCCTCCAGCTTTCTTCAAGGCTTCAAGAGCCACCTCCAATTGAAGAGTCTTGGCTGTCCTCCTTGCTTGTTAATGCTGTCTCTGTTTTCCTCATGTTTTTTCCTCCCAAGAGAACATAAGGGATTGTTTAATTTTTCCATCTCCAGTGTCTAGTAAAGGGCTGAGGACAGTGTAGAGGCTTGACCATTGATTGATAGTATAGCCTTATCTGTTGTTGTGCTGTATTTCTCCTCCCCCCCTCAAGAATGTAAGCTCTTTGAGGGTAGGGACTGATTTTTGGAAGTTTTTTTTAATGGGGGGGAGGTGTCTTTGCATTCCCAGCATGTAATAAGAGCTTAATAGTACTTATTGGTTTGTATTGGTTGCAGCTCTCAACATAGGAAGGATTCAAGATAGGATGAGGGAAGATCGCTGCGGGGCCTTCAGAGCTTAGGGATGAGAGTAGGGGGATTTGGGGGCACCTGCGAGAAGGGAGCCAAAGCCCTGCTTGGTGCTTTGCTTTTCTTCAGCTGTCCCAGTCATCTTGTTGTTGTTGAGCTGTTTCAGTCATGACTTTTCTTGACCCTATTTGGGATTTTCTTGGCAAAGATACTGAAATGGTTTACCATTTTCCTTCTCCAGTTCATTTTTACAGATGAGGAAACTGAGGCCAACAGGGTTAAGTGACTTGCCTAGGGTTATATAGCTAGTCAATGTCAGAGGCCAGATTTGAATTAAGGAAGAGGAGTCTTCCTGATGCCAATCCCAGTGCTGTATCCACTGTGTCACCTAGCTGTCCTTGTCCCGGTGAGCACTCAGGCATTTTCTTAAGTGAACCAATGTTTTGGGATGGTTAGAAGTCTGGCTTGGGAATTCTAAGAACCTCAGCTGTGCCTGACTCCTCTTCTTCCAAAAATCCTACCCAGCCTTCGAGGCTTGATTCAAGTCCCATTTCCTCCATAAAATCTTTTCTGACTATTCTAGCCCTCACTGAGGTTTCCCTTTTCTGAACTCTCTTAATAATAATAACCAATGCTTCTGCAGTGATTTAAAGATAAAGAAAATTCTCATTTGACCCTCACAACAACCCTGTATTTCATTATTTCCCTGATTTTATGGATGAGTAAAATTGATCTTAGAGAGATTTTGTGATTTGCCCAGTGTCATACAGCTAGCATGTGTTTGAGCCTGGATTTGAACCCTAATCTTCTGTACTTCAGATCAAGCATTCTGTCTAACATGCCAAGCTGTTATTCTACTATAAATCTGTAACATACAATCCAACAACAGTTATATGCTATTTTACATTGGTCATCGTGTGTGTGTGTGTGTGTGTGTGTGTGTGTGTGTGTGTATATGTGTGTGTGTGTGTGTGTTTGTCTCAGAATCATAGAATGTCAGAGCTCTAAGGGACCTTAGAGGTTATCTAATTCATCCCCTTGATTTTACACAGTGGGGAAACTGAGAGCTAGCAAAAGTTGGTGGCTTGTCCAAAGTCAGTCTCAAAGACAGTGGCAGAATGTACTTTGAACCTGTCCTCTTAATTCCCAATCTAATATTTTTTCCATTAGGTCACATAATCTTCCCAACGAGGACAAGGTCTGTATAGTACACTTCTATGTTCCTGACACTAATGGACACATAGCAGGTCATTAGCAAATTCTTGTTGATTAACTTGTAAATGAAGCTAGGGCATTCTGGGTGTGCCAGGCTCCTGGGTGTGGTGGTCAGTGCTCAGTGCAGGGCATGAACTCTTGGTACCCCTTACACTGCTGTGAGGGCACCTTTCCTTTCCTCTGATACATTTATGCTCCCTGTGCAAAATCCTCCTGATTCTTTGGTTTCCTCCACTGCCTAGGCTCTCTTCTTTGACTCTCCTCAAAACTGACCTGATATTGAGGGGTACCATGGGGTTCTGAGGCAGGTCTGAGTGTCTCTTAATGACAGATTAACCTACTTTCTCTCTCTGTCTCTTTTCTCCCTCCTTCCTTTCCTTTTCTCTACATCCTCTCCCACCCCCACCCCACCCGGTTTTTTTTCCCTAGGGGGGCTTTCTCAGTTGTACGACGCTGTGTCAAACTTTGCACTGGACATGAATATGCAGCTAAGATCATCAATACCAAGAAGCTCTCTGCAAGAGGTAGGGCCTTCGAGGGGAAACATTGGCCCTCATTGGGGTCTAGAGGAAGAGAGACTCACTGGGGGAGGGGGTGTCAAAGGGCTGGAGGAAGAAGGGCTGGACTCATTGGGGGAGGGGGTGTCAGAAGGTTAGGGACTTGTAAATGATGTGGGATTCGACTGTCTAAACCCCTGCTTAGGCCTGAACTTGATCTCTAGAAGAGAAAGTAAATGCGTATATACATAGATAGAGTCTGAAGCCTTGACCCTTTGGATACCAGGACATCTTGTCCTTCACATGGGGTGGGAATGGCTGAAGAAGTGTATGAACCATTTTCCTTATGATTGCTATATAGCTAGTGAGTGAAACAATTATTTATGGGTTAGAATAGTATAGGATAGGGGCAGCTAGATGGTGCAGTGGATAGAGCACTGGCCTTGAAGTCAGGAGGACCTGAGTTCAAATGTGGCCTCAGACCAAACACTTGACACTTACTAGCTATGTGACCCTGGGCAAGTCACTTAACCCCAATTGCCTTAAAAAAAAAAAAAGAATAGTATAGAGTCAGCCAAAGGTATCCAGAAGGGGGTTCAGAGGTTGTGCTAGGAGGTAGATTTAGGCCAGGTTTACCTAGAGGAGATGCCCTCACCTATTTGATTCACTCATTCAATCAATCAACAAGCATTTATTAAGCATCTAAGATGTGTCAGCCAGTTTCCACCCTCAACAAGCTTGCATTCTAATTGGGGAATACAATGCATAAAGGGAAAACCTGGGGTCTGTTCACTAATTTTTTAAAAATATTTTGATAACTATATTTCAATATAATTGATTTCCTTTGTAATCCTGTGAGCTTTATTTTATGCATTTAAAAATATTCTGAGAAAAGGTCTATAGGCTTCACCAGACTGCTAAATGGGTCCATGACATGCACACAAAAAGATGAGAACTATTGAACTAGGCAGTCATAGGGATTGTGAGCAGAGCAATGGGGCAATAGATCGTTATACTCTTTCCAGTAACCATTGATTTGATTATTTGCTGGGCAAGAGCAAAAGGTAGGAAGTTGTGAATACATACATGGTGAGTGAGTAGGCAGTAAGGTGCTTCTGCTAGTTAGGTCCAGATGTTCCAGGGGATGATTGGATGCATTGTGAATCATGGTCTGAGGGAAGCTAGATTTGGTGGGTTAGGTGAGTTTTCACTAAATCATTTTCTAATCAGTTTAGAGAGTCCCAAAACTGAATGGATTAACTGGTAGGGAGGCATGTTGTCATTCTTCTGAATGTTTGTTCTGGGAATGCTTCTGGTCAATTCCTTATTATGCAGGAGCTGCTCCTTTCACTATGGATTATTCAGACCCCTGCTTACCTTATTCCCAACCACAGTCATGCTCTGCTTTGGGCTAGACCAAGGGGTCTGAGTAGTAACAAGGCTTTAGGTTGGTCAGATTCCCTTGCCTGTTTACCAAATGTTATAAATTTTTGGCAGCGATGGAGTTTGGATCAAAGGGTTAGAATGAGGATTTGAGATGAGTAAGGATTCTGGTTAGCCATGGGCTCTCTCCATTATTAATGTTCTGTAGGGTGTTTGCTTCTTTGGTCTCTGGTTCACAAACCCTATCTCCAGGGTCCAGGCAGTCTGTGAATCAACTAAGGCTCTGATAGAAAACCATCCTGTGTCGGCCCTTGTTGGCAGCTGAGTGACACTGTGGACTGTGTGCGTGTGTGTGTGTGTGTGTGTGTGTGAGAGAGAGAGAGAGAGAGAGAGAGAGAGAGAGAGAGAGAGAGAGAGAGAGAGAGAGAGACAGAGAGAGAGAGACAGAGAGAGAGAGAGAGAGAGAGAGAGAGAGAGACAGAGAGAGAGAGACAGAGAGAGAGAGACAGAGAGAGAGAGACAGAGAGAGACAGAGAGAGGAGAGAGACAGACAGACAGGTAGAGATAGAGACAGAGACATAGACATAGAAAGACAGAAATAGAGACAGAGTGGGGGAGAAAAATGTAGAGAAAGAGACAAAGAGATAGAGAAGAAAGACCGAGAGACAGAGACAGAGATCTACATAGAGAAGCAGAGTGGGACACTCAAAAGAGCTCTGGATTTGGCATCTCTGAAGAGTGGACCTGGATGTAAATCCCAGCACTGCCCCTTATGGCTTTGGTGACCTTGGGCAAATTTCTCAACCTCTCTGGTCTTAGCTTCCTCATTTATAAAATGAGGGATTGGACCAGATAACCTCTAAGGTCCCTTTCAGTTTTAAGTCTATGATTTTATTTCTAAGATATCATGGTGTTATGGATAGAGGGCAGGCTCTGGAGTCATGAAGACCTAGGTTCAAATCTTGCCTCTAACACATACTGGCTGTGTGGCCCTGTCTAGGTTACCTAACCCCAGGCCAATTCTCTGAGATAGTAAATTGCAGAAAAGTTGTTGATCTGCATTGGTGGCAGGAGTTTTCACACAATGAGTCTTCTTTACTGATGAACTCACTATTGAGATAGTGTCAGGTGTTAGATGTGAGGGATCCTGGAACAGAGAAGATAATCTCTGACCTCATCAAAGTGCTTTGTGGGCCCTGCTGTGTGGCTGTACACAGTGTTCAGGGGGCTTTAGGAAATACCCTTCATTGAAGCTCACAGAGCTTTGTTGAAGCCTGCCTTGGTCCCTGGAAGGGGAAGATGTAATTAGCACCAGCACCCAAATATGTGCTCATCTAGGAGGATTTAATTTTGGTACCAGAGAGCTTCCATAAATACAGTGTCCCAGTTGCTCGTTGAATTGTTCAGTTAGAATTTGAGTTTAGAGAGTGTGGTGTTATTTCCCTAGGTGAGTGGTGAGGGGTAGGGGCTCCCAGAGAACCTAGATAAGGTAGGGTGGCATGGACTTGAATGCAGATTGCTTGGGAGAGGATCTTGGTGAAGTACCTTGCACTTTGCTTTCAGTGTTTCAAGGATCGTAGGGAGTACTGACCTCCTCCCCTCCCCCCAGGGCAGGTCAGCTTTCTTCTTGCATGCCCAAGGCATGAGAAGCTCTAGCAGATGGCTCCTAGGTGATCTGAAGCTGCTGCTGCAGAGAATTTGAACTTGCCTTTGGCAGAAGACGGGATTACAGAGTTACTGAATGTCAGTGCAGGAAGGGACATTCGAGGTCATAAAATCCACCCCTTTAATTTTACAGATGAGAGGTAATGTGACGTAGCAGATTGTGTGCTGGATAGAGGCAGAAGGTCTAGGCTAAATCCTCCCTCATGTACTTACTACTTGTGGGCAAATTGAGTAACCTTCCTGGGCCTCAGTTTCCTCAAAATCACTTTGGGTGCTTGTCCATTTCAATTCAGTTTATCTTTCTGTTTCCTTCTCTGTAAAATAAGGGAGTTGGATTTGATGCTTGTGAATGGATCAGCTTATCAGCTTTGTCTCCATGCCCTAATCTAACATAGGTTATTATGGCTGGAGGAGGCAGCTAGGTGGCTTAGTGAATAGAACACTGGGCCTGGAGTCATGAAAACCTAAGTTCAAATCCAGGCTGAGACCTTTACTAGCTGTGTGACCCTGGGCAAGTCACTTAACCTCTGTTTGCCTTAATCCATTGCAGAAGGAAAGGGCAAACCATTCAGTATCTTTGCTAAGAAAATCCCGTGTGGGGTCACAGAGAGTTGGACATAATTGAATCGACTGAACAACAACACCAGTAGAGCTGGACTATACCTGCCATTTTATCATCCAGTGTGGCTGCAGGATATCTCCGTATACCTCTCATGACTCTTGACAACAATTTGATCTTGAGCAAGAGCCATCTAAAGAAAAGCTTTCAGTTCGGCTCAGCAATTATTTATTAAGTACCTATGCTGTATTAGGTAGGGTCTCAGGTGCTAGTACTACAAAGACAGAAAAGAAAACATGTGCTGACCTCAAGGGTCTTACATTCTACTGGGGGGAGACAGTATGTAAACAGAAAAGTTCATACAAGATAATTTGCAGAGAGGAAGAATACTGACAACTAGAGGGATCAGAAAGGTTTCCCAGAGGAGGTGGCATCTGGGCTGATTCTTGAAGGAAGCTAGGGATTTAAGGAGGTGACGGTGATGAAGGCATGGGAGACAGCCTTGGCTGGAGTGGGGAGATGGCATGTCAAATAATGTGAAATGGAGTCTGTAGAAGGGTTAGCCTTGATGAAGAGAAGAGCTACCTGGAACAGAGGAGGTGAACATATGATAGCGCATCAACCAAGGAGTGATAAGGTAAGACAGCAGCTCACTTTTCCTTTTCTGTAGGCTTTTGTTTAACATTGCTGATTTTGGGGCAATTCCGAGTGGCTGGAAGCTTGACTACCAGCAGGCTCCCCTCTCTGACGTTTCCCTGGACTTTTGGGTCTCTTCATGCCAACAGGAATGGAAAAAGAAAAAAAATATTTTGATTCAGTCAGCAACTGGGTGTTTTTCTTTTCCAGGAAGATAAGCTCAGATGTGACAGGTTTTTCATTTTCTCCCTGAGGTTCTGCTTAATTAGGTCTTGAGCAGAGCAGGGGAGGGAAGGAGTTTTATTGCTAAGAGCTGTCAGGAGAGCAAAGCCATTTCAGATTGAGGCCTGATTTGATGGGGGGGGGTTTCAGCTAATTTCAGCAGGTGGCAGGGAGATGCCAGTATATATTTAAAAACTGGCTTACCAAAAATACAGGGTGACACACTTTTAAGTTCATTCTGCCTTTTTAACATTCTGTCACTTTCTTACGTGTAAGATAATCAACAAAACAGTAAACCAAGCCCTGGTTTGTAGTGTCTGCTGATTTCTAAGATGTGAATGCTCTTAACTGAACAGTTGGCTCACCTGAGCCCATTCAGGCTGGCCGTGGCAGACCCCTGATTGATGGTAACCTGTCCAGAAAGACAGAGAATTTCTTAGGTAGAGTGTCTATCTGGTATAACTTCAGAGGCCTCTACAGATTATTGTGAAATCATATCTTACTTGGATTTAGGTTCAAAAATCAGTATGTAACCTTTGAAAAATTCCCTCAATTACTTGCG